TTCTCCTTCATTTGCAACCACAGCTCTAAGTCTGTTCCTGTAGCTGTCTACAAGCGCCTGGCATGATGTGGTGGGAATTTTAGCCCACTCTTCTTATGCAAAAACTTTCAATTCACTGGGGTTCTTTGGTCGCCTTTCTCGAATCTGATTCTTCAGTGTTCTTAATCTGTCGCATGTGTCCTTGAGGAAAAATGGCACAGTGGATAAAGGCGTTGGTTAGATCCAGTGACAGGACCCAAAGAGTGTGAGTTCAATACCCGGTTAAGGCAGTGGAGAACTTTCAGAGGGAAATTAACAGGAGATTCATTAAACATGGCAAGTGGAACTAGAACAGTCTACCCCAGTGAGTTAAGTTCGACATTCCAACCACCTGAAGAAGGCCGGAGCGTACAACGGCCGAAACGTTGTAATAAATATGGCGACAAAGATAAGGACAATAGTCTGAATAATGTCAATAATGAAAGGCTAGATAGACAACTCTCTTCATTATAGGCTAGATAAAAAAATTTCACAAAAAGCGCCCATCATTGGTTAATCGTAAAGGCGAGCTGTTCTTTACAATAATGCAAGACTACATATTGCCCGAGTAACGTAAGAAAAGGTTATGGATCTAGATATGATATTTCTGCCTCATCCTCCTTTCTCTCCAGATCTTGTTCCTTCTGTCATCTTTTCAGATCAATGCAGCATTTTTGGAGAGAGAAAACTGAGAAAAGATTAAATTGATATTAATTGTTTTTTCTTTTCTTTCATCAAAACAATAAAAAAAATTACATCGAAAGGATCAACAGTGCCAAATAGATGGGATTATGTTATCGATAATGAGGAGAAATGTCTTGGATAACTATACCAATAAAGATTAAAAAAAGCATTTGTTTATTTTCCATTTTAAATGAGACATGACTTTCTTTGAATTGTGCTCACGCGTTAAAGGGATACAGTCAAATGGTTATAGACAAGAAAGAACAAAAATTCGGCCATGTGACCAAAAGTTATCCATTTTTTATTGGTTCGGTGACAAATCCCAACATTCGTCTGTAGGATTTGTCTACAAATTTGGGGAGGCAATGTTCTTAGCGGTCAATCCCAGCCGACTGTGGGGAATTCGACGTGGCATATTAATTAACAAGCTTTTCTCCGTAGATCATTTACAACTGAATAGTGAGTTTGATCCTCACTATGTGCCCCATACTTTCAGCCTTGTGCCACAACTAAGCTATGCTTAGTAAATCACTTGAGTAATTCGGCTTGGCGTAATGGTTAGTCAGCTTGTCTTGCTAGATAAGTTTTTTTTTTTTTACATTATTTACACTGTTTGGACTGTTGTCCATCTTTATTACCATGTTCACAACGTTTTTGCCATTATACGCTCCAGTCTTTTTGTTTTTACTGGGTAGTGAGTACGATTCTCACTGGGTACCCTATATTTTTGGCCTTGTGCTACATCTAAGCTATCTTTAAAAAAAAACCACCACAGCTCACTATGTAGGTTACTCACCTTGAACTTCTTGCTGTCAATTTGCCCTGCCAGTGTCAAATTCTCCAAGCCCTCTTTCCTTATCATGTGCCCTAGAAATTTCAGTGTCTTTTGCGCTTTCATCATCATTAAAACTACGTTACTCGCGTTTAGTCCATAGTATTATCAGCATCCTTTTGTTGAACCACATTTCTAATGCATCAAGTCTACACTTCATCAGTGAGGAGATTATCCATCACAGCTCACTATGTAGAGGAGGACTGCTATCATACAGTAGGTCAGCACTCTTATTTGTTTCTAGGTTGATGCAAAAGCATTTCTTTTTCCTTCTCTAAATTTATATGAATATTGGTTGGAAACATTCTAACAAAGATTTCCTGTTTGCTAATACTTTGCTTTGGTTTTGGAAGGCCCCTTTTCCTATTCCAATGTGCCTCCAGATTTTGTTGTCATATTTTCTGTCCTTTGATAATCATGGGAAAGACAATTTTTTTTTAATTAGCATCAGGTAATTTTAGCTGACCTTCGTCACAGCACATTCTTATGTTTGAGCTTTATGTTATGCCTATTAATGAGAGAAATTTTAATTATCTTCTGTAAGTTGAGGCGAAGGTAACATTAAGTTAAAAAAAAATCGGAGCATCACTTTGTGCTTAAAATGAGCTTAATTTTTGGATTAAGATGAACCTTGTTATGTGTATGGGCTTCTTGCTAATAAAATTTAAAAATTGTAATCTATATGTAAGTGACATGAACCTGTGTAAGACTAATTCTCTCACTCATTCTCTCTCATATATATATAGGGTGACCAAAAAAACGGGAATTTTTGAAGTGCGTATTGCCAGACATGAGCAAGTGGCAACACTGCGAGACAGTGACCTTGAGCAAGTAAACATTTCGCCATTTAGAATTCAAGATGAAATTCACAGTATCCCAGCTGAGATATTGCAGCAGTCAATGAGGAATCTCAACGGCAGATTTCAAAAATGCATTCGTACAGGAGGACGCCATCTACAGGACGTAATTTTTAAAAAAATGAAAATTCCATCATTGTTTCTTAAATGGCACGTTTGAAGGTTTCAATTACTATGAATAAAATAGTTTTCTTCCATCACTCTTGGTTTTATTGGATTGTTAAAAAGTTCCAGTTTTTTGGGGTCACCCTATATATATATATATATATATATATATATATATATATATATATATATATATAATGTACAGATGGGGGTACAAAAATAGTCATACAGTAATGAAAAACCAAACATGGGCACATAACCAACTGTTTACCTAATTTTGCAGCCTCCTGTATAAAAAAGAAAAAGAAAAAAGCAGTGGGTAAGGGACTGTAGCTGAGATGCCAGGTCAGGATTGATAGCATTGCAGATTCTTCAAGAATCTCTAAATAATATATAGCACCAAACCAGATGTGGCTGTAATATTCAAAGTATAGACAAATGATAGTCTTATAAATACCTCAAATTAACAGTCCCGAAACCAACAGGCTCCGGATTTAACTTTAAAACTTTTCAAACTTTATTTAAAGGCATATAATAACTTACAAATTAAATACACATACATATATTACTGTACTTACATTTATTTACAATAATTCTGTACTATACGGTACTGGTTGTTTTTAGGCCACAAAAAAGTGCTTCAAGTTAATGGACAAAAGGCTTTATTGGCTTTAGTCTGTTAAATTGAGGTTCTCTGGTACTCACATATCATTCAAAGACCTAATTTTGAAGCTAATTTGACTACAGTAAATGGATATACAGTTTAGTCAATGGCATAGCCAGGGCCGGTAGTATATATGCTAATTTTATATCTCATGTATGATGCTACCCTCTTAAAATTAACTTCAAAATTAGATCTTCAAAAATCGGGATATACACAAGTATATACAGTATGTAAGATAAATTCTGGAAATAAAAATTGTTTAATTTGATACAGGGAACCAACTTTCCTAGCTGCAGACTGTGCAATTAATTCAATATACACTTTCTACCTTATATAAGTGGAAAATATTAGTCCAAGAAGGTCACTTTCCTGGAGGTTAGCATCCGCCATGCTGATGGAAATAAAAAGGTTGATGATAAAGGATATCATATAATTTCATCATCACTTCTCAATACTGATTTCTTGAGATATCAGGTTCAGGAGAAAGTTCCAAGTGTTTTGTTTTTGTTATATAAATTCAGAGAAGAAAAAATGAGTTTGCATCAAGCCAAATCTATCATTTGTCAATGCTTTGAATATTGCTGCCTGTTGTGGAGATGAACACACCTCTCCAGAAGAGGACTTGGACTTGTCCAAATACATAAATACAGACACTGAGAATCGTCAGTACAAAGAGTAAACAAGTCGAGAGTTAGAATCTAGCTTCTTTGCTTACTACCTATTTTAGCAATACAGTGTAACCCGGATATACGAGAGTTGTCGGGACCGGAGAAGAAGTCTCTTATATCCGGGTTTGGTCTAATTTATACATTAACACAGGCTCTAATTTGGGACCAGAGTATATCTATCTTATATCCGGGTTTCTCTTATATCCGGGTCTCTTATATCCGGGTTACACTGTACTATGTTAACTCCAAGCAACATACTACTTCTTGATTTTGCTATCTTCATTCAAGGCAATAAAGACAAAACACTGCCACTGATGGTCCAGTGCTCCTACCATATATTTAAAGATTCTTGATAAAAACAAAAGAATCTGCAATATTATTAATCATGACCTGGCATTTTGGTTTCAGTCTCTTTCTTTCCTTGTTCCTTTTCTATAAATATTTTCATTGTAATTATTCTAATGAACTTTATTCTTCGTTGGGGTTTCACTATGGTACTTAGACTTAGCGCAGTACTAGATTGGTAACAAGGTCTTATCAATTTACAGTTGAATTAGCAATATGTAATTAAGTTCTATGCTAACAGTTTCTTTTCTTGCAATTCTTACTATCGGTTTTTGTAATGCTCATTTTTAGGGGAGACTTTGTAAATCACAGATACAATAATAGTAATGACTTTGAACTATACTCAGTCAGATGCCGCTAATTCCATTATATATATTTTTCCTTTACCTGTCACGTGATCTAATTGTTTCAAGATGAGGTCGACTGTGCTTGCTCTCTGGCGATCTGTGTTCAAACCCTGGTGTCGGCAGTGACACTTTGTTCCTATATGATGCAGCACCATACTTTCCAGCCAACTTTGGTTTGCAAAAATATAATTGTAATGTCAATCATTGTATGCTGTCTTCTTGATTACTCTACTATTGCTCTTACTCCTGAATGTTTTCTGCTTTCTAATTCTTTTACACCAAGTAGTAGCCCCCTTGTGTCTTAGTGGCTTTTCTGCCTTGCTTGGGGTAAACCCGATTAAAAAAAACAAAAAAAAAAGACTATCAAGAAAGTTAAAATTAGATGAAAGTAAAGAATAAATAAAATTACACAAAGAAAGACATTTCTTTTTTATATGAAAGGAGAGACGAAAAGGGGTAAAAAAGAAAAAACATCTTTATTCAGAAATTTACAACTTTAGGCTCTCTACGTTTTGGCAATTTTGTGTGTCCAGCAGGTTCAGCATCAACACTAGCAAATGGATCCAAACGCCCAACAGTGACGTCTTCAGCAGCTGAAAAAGATAAATAAACAGAAATATTTACATCAAAATTATTATATATTATATGGTATTTCTTATATATATATATATATATATATATATATAAAGGCCAGTTGCCTGTGTGTGTGAGTGCATGTGTCCAGGTAAAATTAATTAATACAATAATAACGACAAAATAAATATATATCCAGACTCACTATCACCCAACCCATCTTTCATTTAAAAAATTATCATCATATGATTTGTTTTATGAAGATATTTTAAAATTAAAAATACATAATAATTGCATTAAAATGTATTCAAAATTCTCAGAATTAAAAAGAAAAATGAACAGGAATAATTCTTATTCCATTCGTTTTTACTTTTTAATTCTGCTAATAATTTAAAAACGCTATATGTATTTTTAAAATTCCTATTCTTTTCTAACTATAGTAAATAAATGTAGCTTTAAAAAAAAAATGAATACTAAAACAACGAAGTAAATTTAAAACAAGAAGAATATTAAATATTCAAACAAACACGACAGAATAAATTCCTGGAGATATTTTGGGGAGAATTTTCAGTAGAAACATATAAGACAACTTTTTCGATATTTTTTTTTTTTAATCGGGAAATTTCTAATTACCTATTTTTAATAACAGGTTTACTTTAAATACACACATTTTGTTTTTATAGTTGTAGAGATATTATTATCTATCTATACATATATAAAGGCCAGCTGCGTATGTGTGTATTATTGACTTATTAATATTTTTCGGCTATATTATGGAAAATAATTTTTTATTCAATCTTTAAAAAAATAAACGCCATTGTTTTTTAGGTTTGTAACTAAACGTAAATAATTTTAAATTAAGTTTTATCAAATCATAAAAATTAATTTAAATAATATATAGTTAAATTCATAAAATAAATATTGAACATGATTAATGTTGCCCATAACTCATGTCCGTCTCTTCTAATTTTTATTTAACTAAAGTTTTCATTTTTCTTCTCAAATAAAACTTAAAATTTAAACATAATCTTTTTTCAAAACTAAATTCTCAATGTATCTTACTTCTATTCTCTTTCAAAACAGTAATTAAATTCATTTACTGAGAAATGTTTGTTTCTTAAAAAATTACTGAGAAATGTTTGTTTCTTAAAAAAAAGAAAATAATCAATAATTTATACTAACTGTTTCTTCTATTGCATTTCTCATTTGTGGAACTCTCTTTTGGCTTCTTGCTTTCCAGACAACCTTGATCTCCAAAAATTTAAATGATATGTCAATCGTTATCTACTGTCTTTTTAATTCCTGTTTTTTTTATTGTCCACTCTCCTTAATAATGTTTCTTTTCTTTTTCTCATTCTTTCACACTCAGTAACTCATTTGTGTCTTAGTGACTTTATTGGCTTGCTTGGGGTGAAATAAAAAGAAAAAAAAACTTTTTTTTTGGCCGTGTTTTCCTCAGTTCATGCCAACGCTGCGTATGTTGAGGGTGATGTTGAAAGTTGATTAATTTACCAAGATATCACCAAATAAACAAATATCAAAATTTCTTTTATAATCCCTTCTTGGTCAGGCCAAAAGCTTTTCAGCATCTCATACACAGGATATATTCATAAAACTTTTGAAATTAAAAATTACTGTATTTATATTTTGGGTATGAAAATGAAGCTATTATATATATATATATATATATAGTGTGCGATGGATAAATTGTCTAAATTGCACAAAAATGAAAATAATATTGACATTTCATTTTAACAGGTATATTTAGCAAAATTAGACAAAAATATCTTGAAATACTAAAGAGTAAATTTATTCAATAAAATGGCTATTGCCTTTAACAATGGCTTCTAGATGACTCTAGAATCTTCTGCAACTCTTCTGGAAGGTCTCCTTGTTTAAGTTGGTGAATGCTGCCATAATCCTTGCCTTTAGTTCATCTTTGGTGTTACAAGGAGTTTTGTTGGTCTCTCACTCAAATGCACGCCACACATAATAATCAAGTGGGTTGCAGTCTGTGGAGTTAGGTGGCATTAGATGTAAGGGGTGATGTGGTTGCAGAAATTGACTGACAGCTATGACTGGGTTCTCCTGCTTATGTAGCATAGTGCAGAGTCCTGTTACCAGACATAGGTTCTTCCAGCTGCCACCCTCTTGACACAGAACAGCACTACCTCCTCAAGGCATTTGATATAGGCCTCTGTGTCAATTCTGAAGCCCTGTGGGAAGATGAATGGAGGCATAACATCACCATCACAAGTGATCACTCCAAATACCTCTGTAGTCACCATTAGACTCATCCAACTCTTTCCAATTCTTTTCCACTGTCCTCAGACTGACCCCCAAACAATCTCAAATGTTTGTATTGGAGCTTCTGGCACAAATGCTAAGTAGTAAAGCATGCCATTCCCAAATTTCTGGTGGAGTGAATTGCGCCATGGTGGTGACCCTACTATATTTTGCCTTCGGCAAAATGCATGTGTGAAATTAAAAATATAAAATGATGAGAGTTTACCCATCACACTATATATATATATATATATATATATATATAATAATGAAATCTCTCCTGTCAGTTTTGATGTATAACGATCTGACAACTTAACCAATTGATTCAGTTATGAAATTTTGTGTGATAATCTAAAGTGGCACTTAAGACCCACTAGTGATTTACAAAGGAGTATGGAGCAAGAGTGAGGATTGTGGGATGAGATCACTATTAGATAGGCTGACCTTTTAGATCTTGCTCTCACTTTTTGAAGACGATTCAGACTAGCAAATTGAAAACTGCTGAGTCTACTAAAACACGTTGATTCCCAATCTACCTGCTCCAAGGCTAAGCACTCGAGGATGTTATGAGGTATATTGACAGCTGACAAGTTGTTCTTCAGCTTGTCTTTGTATCTTAGCCATGGGCATCCTATATTCCTGTAGCCCTGATCTAACTGGCTGTACATTAGGATCTTGGGTATCCTGTCATCAGAAATTCTCAAGACATGACCAGTTCACCGTAACTACATGTGTGTGTGTGTGTGTTTTACACATGAGGTTTGATCTAAGAGAATCAGGACTGTTGTTATGGTAATGGTGTTAAAGTACACATAGTACTTTGTCATGTCTACACACGTTATAATGGTCTAACTTCCATTGTTTATATCAGTACTTGGAAGGAAAGTGTGTAGAGTGTGGTCATCTCTCCATACCACAAAAGTTTCATCAGTGACCATCACTTGTGCAGCAGTTTTTGGCAAAGGACAACATTCGCCAGGCCCAAGAATCAACATATTCAGCAGATCGTGACCCTTGCAATTTTATCTTCTTTCTAAAAATCTATACCCACTTAAAAGGAACAAGATTTCACGATGTTGAGAAAATTCAATAAATACACACACACACACATATATATATATATATATATATATATATATATATATATATATATAAAAAACAAGTTGTTGTTGCCACACCAGGATAAAATAATTTTAAGGACACGAATTGTAATTTTATTAAAATACGATACAAAAGTATCACGTTTTGAGATTTAAAGTGCCTTTTGGCTGACATTTCTTCAAAAATAAAATCGTTACCAATATAAAAGAAAATAGTTAATAAGAAAAAGTTTTACCAACAACTGATATTAAAATATTTAATATCAGTTGTTGGTAAACATTTGTTTGCAACAAGGATTAGAGCCACGCTCACAGACAGGTATACATGGAAACTAGTAACCAGTCATTATATTACACATACATTATCTCTAAAATACCAATTTTATTTTATTACTCAGAAATTCGGTTATGCAAACAGGAGATATTTAGGTTTTCTATTCATTTTACTTACATTATACTTTTGTTTTTTTTCTATAACTTTGTAATCAGTGACTTGTTCTTGCATCTGATAAACGAAGTAAATATTTTCAAGGGAGATAACTCTTGTAAATTAAAACAGGAGTTACCTCCCTTGGAGTTCGTAACGCATGGAGGCGTTTATTTTGGGATGTTTATTATCTTTCAAAATAGGTACCTTAAGGAAGATGTCATAAATTTTCTAAGCACGAGGCTGATTAATATCAAGAAGGGATCATAATTCTTTGGAAATTCTTATAAATTTCATGACAATGTAAGTCAGTGTTTGATCTCAAGTAAAGGCTCGGATATCAGATGCTAAGTTTCTAGGCCAAATGTTTCTCAATTGATCAACTAGTATTGTCTTCCTCCATTTTCCCTCCCATATGATATTAGGTATTGAAAATTAACAATCTCTTAACATAAAAATTTCAAATTTCATCCTTCAATACCTAATAAATTATGCTATGGTCATCTCAACCATTGTACTTCTATTCCATGTCCCTTCAGGATGTAGGCGATCATCCCCACCCACATCTTCCTGTCACTTGTAATGCTTAATAAGTTTTGTCTTTTTGTTATTTCTCCCAAACTCTGTTCTGCCATCCATTTCCTCAAGCTCATCATGTTACACACTGCTTTCCTCTGTCCCACAATCTGTCCTGTGAGTATCAGGTTTTCTAAGCCCTCCTTCTTCATTATGTCACCCAGAAATTTCAGCTGCCTTTTCCCATTGATGTTAACTGTAAGTTTCCTTTTTATTTCCATTCTCTCCACAACCTAGTTGTTGCTCACATGTTCGGTCCATGGTATCCTCAGCCACCTTTCAGTAGAACCACATTTCTGTTGCTTCAAGTCACTTCTTCATCTTTGAGGAGATTGTCCAGCATTTACTGCCATACAGGAGGACAGATATTACATAACAGTTCAGTACTCTTTTCTTTGTTTCTAACAAAATTTTTCTGTCTCTTAATACTCTGCTTAGCTTTTGGAATGCCACTTTTGCTATCCCAATGTGTCTTCAGAGTTCAGTGTTGCATTTTCCATCATCTTTTTGAACACTTCCCAGATATCTAAATTTTCATACTTGTCTGATTTTAGTATCCTCAAATTGTAGTTTGCATTTTGGGCTCATACTTTTAATTTTAAAAGTGAGATGCAATTGCTTGTCAAAAATTGATGATGTAGCATCGGTATCACCCACCAGTCTTCGGATCCATATGGGAGCCCATTAAATGAGAGGTTTTATACAAATCAGACGTTCAAATCTCTCCGGGCAAACTTATTAAAAATAGCGATAAACTTTAGCCACTGAAATAAAAATTAAACTCTGATATCAGAGCATCATATAAAGAAACAAAAAAAAATCAAGAATTTATGCTCTTCCTTGGAAGACACCATAAATTGATTTGTTTTTTTATGGTTTATCAACCCTTTGTCAATTACAAAACATATTTTGGATTATAGGAATAATTCTTTTTTTGTTGTGTGTGAAAATTGCATTAATAATATTTTGAGCATAACAATGATTTTTCCAGAATCACGATTTACTGTTTAGCCCATAGCTGAGGAGTACCATAGAAAGTTTTTAATTAGTGATCATGTGGTTAAAAGTAGGTACATGAATGATGATGAAACTCTTAACCAAAAACACTGAATTGAAAGCTCTTTACAGAAACTGAAATCATTCAAATAAGAACATTAAAAAAAACTACAAGACTGACAAGAATACATTGTTACAAGAATTTGCATCATTCCACCAAGAGAGATCAGTTAGTAAGTGAGAGTGCTGAAATTTCTGTATATATTCATCACTGATAAGGGCTTTTGAAAATTAACCTCAACAATGTGCATATGTGTGTGTGTATATCTTAGAATTAAATCCCAACAGAGGTACTAAACAGCAGCACTATTATGAAATGGACTAAGTCCGACAATTATTTTAATATATTTATTGTTTATACATTATTTTTATAGATAAAAATATTTAAGTAAATGGTATAGCACACCAGACTATATGATGGTTTCATGTAGGATACAGGTTCAATTCTTGTCAGAGGACACATATTTTCTATGAAATTTCTCAGACATTCAGGCTGGTAAATGTTATTTAATACCGTTTATTATAAACAGAGCATTTATTTAAATACTTGTATCTATAAAAAAAAAGAATGTTAAACATAAAAATGTCTTTAATAAATAAATTGTCAGACTTTGTCCATTTCTTAATATATTGTTAATACTGTTTATTATAAACAAACCATTTACTTAAATATTTGCATCTATAAAAATAATGCATAAACAATATATATATATATATATATATATATATATATATATATTAATAAAAAGATGTTCACATGAATTCCAGCCATGGAGAACACATGAATAAGTGATTTTATTCAAAACATCACAAACATAAATTACAATGTAACAATGTAAAAGATGAGGGGAAAACAAAACACCAGAGACAGGACACCCTTGAAAATGGCTATAGAACTGGCCGAAACTGCTTGGGACAATAAAAATTGTTAGCACAACCATCGACGACTCCCAAAGGGTTCCATCTACACAATTTCAGTCACAAGGCTTGGGTCAACCAGTGGCATGGTTTTTCAGATGCTTTACAAAAGGTGCTGCACACAGAGATTGCTTCCTGCACACTGATAACATCAAGAAGTCACTTTCTTGACAAATCCATCATTGGTGAGATTCAAACCCGGGGTCTCAAGGACAGAAAGCAAACATTCTAACCACTGGACACCCAGCAATGACATGCACATTATATATATATATATATATATATATATATATACACACACACACACAGTGACATCAAACAGTTTCATGCTTCAATGCAATCTTCAGGCCATGTGTGTTGGCTTGACTACCTAGAGGCTATTGAGGAGGAATAATTGTGGATCTGAATACCCATATATATATATATGTGTGTGTGTGTGTATGTATATATATATATATATATATATATATATATATATATATATATATACACACACAAAGTGCCAACTATATATATATATATATATATATATATATATATATATATATATATATATATATATATGGATTTGAATGCCCAAATATATATACATATATGTTCATACACACACACAAAGTGATAACAGTTTCATGCTTGAACACAATCTTCAGGCCATGTGTGTTGCATGTTGGCTTGACTACTTATATATGCTGTAAAATGGGGAATTATGGGTTGCAAGGTGGATTGTATTTATCATAATGGCTATTGGATGGGCTTCAAAATTATTCTAGAAGCAATTGAGGAGGAATAATTGTGGATCTGAATGCAGTTATTTGTAGCTCTTTTATAATGTTTTTGTTAACTTTTTACTCAGATGTTTTATCTTTTTATGTCAATGAAGCAAAGAAAGAAAATTTTTTTTTGAGGAATTCAATGAAAATATTTGCTGGTAGGGTTTCTCTTGCTTTTTCTATTCTAGATGTGATTGTGTAAAAACACTCTGCAATTGCCTTGTCCTTCCAAGACATTGGTAATCATGTCCCTCCACAATAAATTTTGTATTTTTATTATCTCTCCTATCACCATCCATTTATTCAAGCTTGCTAGGTAAGTCATGTGTTGTTTTCCTCTGTCCATCTTGCCTTCAGTTTGTCCTCTGAGTATCATATCTTCTAAGCCCTCTTTCCTCATTATGTTCCCTAGAAATTCCAACTGTCTCTTAATGGTGTTAAGTATAAGTGTATCCATTTTCTCTAAAACTTTGACATTGCTCACATGTTTGGTTCATGATATTCTCTGTAGTCTTCAGTAAAAGTACATTTCACATTTCTGTTGCTTCACGTCTCTTCGTCATCTGTGAGGAGACTGTGCAGTATTCACTGCCATATAAGAGGACTGATATTACATAACATTTCTGTACTCTTTTCTTCGTTTCTAATGAAATTTTTTTCTGTTTCTTAATACTTTGCTTAGCTTTTGGAAGGCATCTTTCACTATCCAAAAATGAAATTGATTTACTTTAACAAAAATATTTTTTTTAATCAATTTGCTCCAAGCAAGGTGATAACACAACAAAGACACAAGTGCTACTGGGAGTGAAAGAAAATGAAAAGGTTTTAGAAAGAACTGGAAACCTAATCCTAAACAGGGAACAAGGGATAAATCTCTACTCCTGTTCAAAAGGACTGGGGAGGGGTGGGCAAACATGTATCTCTACAACTTCCTATCCTTTCTCACTCTTAGTAACATTTAACTTTTTTAATATTCCTCCCACTCACTGTTTGTCAGGTATGTTACACATGTCTCTCTCTGTGCTTCTTGCTTTCGGTATGTCCTGTGAGGGTCAAATTCTCCAAACCCTCCCTCCTTATAAGTCCCAGAAATTTCAATTGTCTATTTCTGATTCTAAGTCTTTTTTGTTTCCATTTTACTTAAAACTATCTCCTTGCTCACAGGCTCCATCCATGGTATTCTTGACCTTCTACAGAACGACATATCTCTTTCCTCAAGTTTCTTCATTTGTTAAATAATTGCCCAATATTCACTGCCATATTCAGTACACTTTTCTTTGTTTTGGTTATGAAAGAATGGGATTCCAGATATTTTAAAATTCTTGCATTCTTATCTTGATATTTCTGCCAAGAAGGTTCCACCAGGACATATCCAAGATGTAATTAAATGTATCAAACTTAATTCAACCTGTTGCTAATAGTGGTCAGCTCAACACACAAGCAAATGTGTCAAAGATCTATGAAGATATCAGAAATAAAGTAATTATTTTATATTTTCTTTATTATTTTTTTTTTAAATTGTTTCACCCCAGGCAAGGTGATAAAGCCACTAAGATGAAAAGTGTTATCGAGAGTGAAAGTAAACAAGAAAACATTAGTGAAGAGAAAGGATAATAAAAGAACAGGTTTAAGAATGACAGGAGATCAAGATTGACATAGCATTTAAATTTTTGAAGATCATAATTGACAGAAAGTGAGAAGCTGAAAGAGAGCTCCACAAGTAAGAGGTGCGGGAGAAGAAACTATCAGGACTTACATCTCACTATTTCAATAGTAAAATGATGAGATCTAGTTGCCAATTTGTTTCTTTGTATTACTTGCTATTTGGGGATTAAGGATTCCGTGTTCTTTGAGTTGTAGACAAGATCTTAGCATATCTGCATTTTCAAAGAGCATCTGTCACATTTGAAACATGACAGAGAAGCAAAGATCTGTTAAAAATTGTTTAACATAAAAATTCCACCTTTTGACATCAGAGGTTTGTTTGCAGCAAATAGAGCAAATTTGAATTCAGATGACATCTTTTTCCATCATTATTTTTAATCAGTTCATCTCGAGCAAGGTGATAAGGCCACTAAGACGCAAGGAGCAAAAGAGAACGAGAAAACTTTAAAAGGAACCGAAAACCAAATCCTAAACATGAAACAAAGGAAAAACCTCTACTCCTGCTCAAAAGACCAAGGAGGGGATGAGAGCCAGATGATAGGCAAACCTATCTACTCCTATTGAGGAAAAATAAGTAAATAAAATAAAATAAACAGTAAATAAAATTACAGAGTTTAGGCAGGCACATTAGAAGTATAGCATTGAAGTAGACTTTAGAAGGAACTGGAAACAACGAATAAATACTTACTTCTATTCAAAAGAGTGGTTAGAACTACAAAGGAGAGGAAGTTGCAGAGCCCCATGATTGCCCCCATTCAAGTCCATCCTGACATTTTTAGTCTTTCACTATTCCATCCATATTCTTAATTGTTAATAAGAAAAGTCCACAATGGTTAATTTGGCAGCTGGAAGCTGCCAAAAAATTCCTTTGAAAACCAAAAGAGAACACTTACAAAGCTGTTGCTGTAATTCCGGACAATCCTTTCGATAATGTTCCACAGATCCACATTCTCGACAACAGCCACCTGTCATAAAAGAGAAACATTTTGAAACAGAATAAATAAAAAAAAAAAATTTTCCATCTGAACAAACCAAATACTTTGATTTCAAAAAACATTTTTTTTAAGAGAGCAAAGCTGATACACCCAATGTTGGTGAGAAATGTTTCAGCATTAATACACTTTCTCATTGTCCTTGAGGTATGAGGACCCAACAGCTCAGTTTTTCTAAAAACTAGATCATTAGACAAACCACAAATATAATTTGAGTAGTCAAATTACCTGCACTTCGCTGTGTGTCACACCCTTTTTTTCTAAGAAAATGATGATTTTAAATCATTGTTATAATTTGTAGAGAAGAATGATGCATTTCAATATTACTCAATGATCTTGCCAATGTGACCTCCATCTTCTGGCTTTCTCCTTCTATATTTTGAATACGAGTCATTCTCTTGTTCAAATGTAAATTTAATTCAAATCAAAGGGAAAAACGTTTTCAGTATGGGGAGGACCCCTTTGATCAAAATGAAATATACTTATCCAAGTACCCTGAGTAATGTAGTTTCAGAATATATATGGTTATGAGGTCTATCTCCAAAACCCTAGGAGGAGATTGATAACAAAAAGAGAGACAGAAGCTAAAACATTATATAGAGAGAGAGACTATAGAAGTGAAGACTTGCAAAGACTCAGCCACACCAATCAGAAGAACTAGTAACAGAGAAATAGTACAAATTGTGCCACAAAGTCTCCAAACATTCCTCATCAGGTTTGAATTGAAAGTTTTCCTTCTCCTAGATTGGATGCCACACAAGGCAAGAGAGTTCCGTCTATGTTTCTATTTAATCCATAGCTGGAGGAAGATAGATTCATGCCTTTCACAATAGTATTATATCAATAAGCATTACTGTTGGTTCTAAAATGACTTCTAAGAAAATCTCCCCACCTCTCCAAATTTATAAACAAATCCAACAGATGCATGCTGGGATTTCTTCCTAACCAATAAAACTTGACAATTCTTTGGCTCATCTAACTACATTTTTGTTCTTTCTTGTCTTGAAGTCAGAACCTTATAACAACTTCACTGTATCCCTTTTACATATGAACACAATTCTTACTTTGTGAATCTTTGGCCTTCATTGCTTTGCATAGTTTTGACTTACATTATATATACGTTATGCATCATACACTTATATATATATATATATATATATATATATATATACATACATACATACAAGTATATAATCAGTGTATACGGAATGAATTCACACACTTTGGATTAAAAAATATATATACATGTATTGTCAAATGACTGGATACTGTAGAGTCTTGTTGAACGTAATTTCAACGAAGAAATAAATTGAATAACATATGTATTTTTTCTTTTCTCAATAATTTTATAGTTTTTAAATTTAATAGTGATTAAATTTGGATTTTAAAATTGGCAGTTTTTAATTTTAATATCAAATTTTATCATATAATTTAATAATTATTGGTTAGAATAAATTATATTTAATATTACCCGTATTTTAAAGATCTGAATAGCTATTATAATATGATTTCGTTGTCAAGCTTTTGAATCTTCCTATACTTGGATTTTGATTGGTCATTCTAGCTTTTGTAACAATGTTTTCCCCTAGCGAATGATTGTTAATTAATTTGAAACTTTTAAAACCATTTATTTTACATTCAACATCATCACTTGATAAGACACCGAGGGTGTTGAAACAAAATGGCTATTTTTGTAGTGATTTTATAACATATTTATGTCATAATTTTTTTTTTTTTATAAATAATAATATATATATATATATATATATATATATATATATATATTAAATATATATATTAAATTCGGGGGTTTTTAGCTTCTATTTTTGAAACATGGTTGGAACTGTGTAGCGAAAAAAACCATATTTTAAATCAATTAATTTATAATATACATATATATATATATATATATATATATATATATATATATATATATATATATTATTGTTTTAGTATTATTTTGCCCAGTTCTTTTCTTCCTCTTCTTAATGTTTCAGAACTTTTGTTTGTTGACAATTTTACACCATGACCAATTACTCGACAGTTACACTAACCTCACGCCCACAACATTAACATAAGCAGTTTCAATACAAAGACATAATTGCTCATCTGCAGTCAACTATGAAACTATTACAGATCAGATAAAACAAATATAATATAGAATAACTAAAAAATTACAATTAGACTTATTATTAAGTGACTAGCATGATTGATGTCAAACCAAAATATTTCTAGAATAAAGAAGGGCTCCTCTGGACCATCACTATTCAATAAGGAGAGTGGCTCAGCAGCCCTAGGCTGGTGTGGTACATGCAATCAGAGTAAAATAAATACAGCCACACAAAATCAAGCTCTTTAAAGAGAATTCGCTAGTGACATAGCAGATAAATATGGCCCATTCAAATCTGGAATCCTAATTATGGCTTCTCCAGAAGCATAGAAGAGTCTCTGGTAGCATTGGGAATTATTACATGTAAGACCCTATATTTTTTTCCCTTTTTACATTGCTTGTGTTATAGTTTCTCTGCATGGGAAATGTGTAAATATAATTTTGTGTATGGCTTAGCAGGATAAAACTCTCTCTGAGAACAAACTAGGTTTGTCATTTCTTCTCTTTCAGTTATTCATTTCCATTCATGAAAAAAGATATAATAATGCTCATAATGGGGGAAATGCAAACTGGGATAATAGATCCGATAACACACACATTATCCGGTGACTTAACTGACATGTGATACTATTAACCCCAATAACAACATGAACTGAGTTTTTGGGTTAATCTTTTGGTTTTGTAGCAATTTGTGGTGTTTGGCAAAACTATGCCAAGCGTATTCTATTCTATGCTCAATTTCCTTACTAAACTTGTAATAATAAATACTAATCATGCTAAATAATAATAATCAAGCAGGTCTGGTGTAAATCGCCCAGATTTACTTATAATTTTTTTAATGTTGCACTCACCACATTTAAACCCATGACCCTTCCCAGATACTTATAAGGAAAGTGATATAGTCTCTCTTAAAAATACTGAAATGTCCTCAACAGACTGTTAGGCCACAAAACAGAATTTAATGGTTTGGTTGTTTTTGTTTAGTAGCATATCAACATCTCTGTGGGTTATTTTATACTGAAATCTAAACATGAATGACATTATTTCATGATTTGCTCCCCTACAAATAAGGTGGAGGACTGCTGTATTCTATATTAAAAAGTGGACTACTGCATCACAAAAAAATAAAAAAATTAAATTTGTTTTCCAATCTGATTATATAATTTTGCAATTATCTCCTAATTATTTTTCTTCTTGATATCATAAAATCATTAAAACTGAAAAAATAAATGTGGTTTAAATATAATCTCAATATTTATCTGAATTTCCAGATTTTTTTTTAATATTTTTTATGCAGATAATCTTTCCCAATACAATAAGCATCTGAATTGTTCAAGTCAAATAAAACTATACACAAAATCTTTTTAAGGTGCTTAGATTTCTTAAAAAAAGAGAGAAAAGCTATTTGCCTAAAAATGTATTGTAGGAAAATTTCTACAAAACCTGACAGAAGTAAAAATAAAACAAAACACTAACCATTAGGATAGAGACCACGTGGATTATCTGGACATTGTTTGGATAAATGCCCAGTTTCTTTACAGATGAAGCACTTCGCATAAGCAAGCAACTCTCCTGTAATAAGAGAGTGAGAAAAAAAGATGAATAATTTTAAAAAAAATAATACACCCAAGACAATGAAGAAAAATAGTAAAAAAATTTTCAATTCATTTATATTTGTAAATTCCGTAACTCACCTTTCATTTTGCACTGCTTCAGTGTATGTTCCGTGGATCCACACTTGAAACAGATTCCTGAGCCTTCTTCAGTCACATCCATTTTGGGACAGGAAGCCATGTCATGGCCTGGTTGGCGGCATTTGAAACAAATCTGAATAATATTAAAATCCAAGAGATATTTCTTTTTATTTCAACTCCCAAAGAAAATAACTTATATATATATATATATAAATAAAAATAAAAGTTAATACTGAAGCCAACACTCAGAGGTGACAGGCTGTTTCATGCTAGATGCAATTGTCAGGTGGCCTGACAATTGCATCTAGCATATTTACATATGCTCTATCTCTGATATTGAGCACTTTATCCCATAAATATAGCACATCTTAAAACTATATTTCTTCATATATATATATATATATATATATATATATACATACACTTAAACACACACATTTATATAACAATTTGAAAAAGTTTGAAATATTTTTCTTTCCTCTGATAAAAACAAAAAAAAAATGTCAAGAAATATTTTAACAACAATATATTAGCTAAATGTGTGGGATATTTCTTCACTCAAATGCAATCAATTTTTTCTTTTGTAAATATATAAACACTGGAAAAAATTTAAAAAAACTTTAACATATACTTGAAAAATTTATATTTCTGTTTGGCAGCCCAAAAAGTTCAAAACTGTTTTCTATAGGAGTGGTTAGTGCTGACTTAGAAAAGGGCACACATGACTTATTTGATGCAAAACTGATGCAGATTTTTTTTTTATTATTCAATTCATCCCAAGCAAGGCAATAATGCCACAAAGATGCAAGGGGTTGCCAAGTGTGAAAAAGAATAAGACTTTAGAAGAAACTGGAAACTCAATCCGAAACAGGAAAGAGGCAATAAACTTCTACTCCTATTTAACAGATCAGGGAGGTCTTTCAACTGGACGACAGGTGAACCAATCTACTCCTTGCACAAGTTCAATTACTTTCTTAACATTTTGAGTAAAAAAACAACAACAAAGTAAATATAGACTTTGAAAAGTCTCAGCAAAGGATGTACTTTTCTAAAGGAAAAAAAAATAATTGACAAATCCATAGTTAAAATGGTAAAGCATGCTTGTCTAAAATGTAGTTTTCTAGTACAGGGTGTCCATAAAGTTCGTGTGCACTTTAAAAAATTTATAATTTTATTTGTATTTGTGATAGAAATAATTTGTAAAAAGGATTAGAAAGAAGTAAATCTATATTTTTTAAGGTTTTATTGAAATTTTATTTAAGTTTCCACATGTTCTCCATCATTAGCAATACAAAGGGTAATACGATTTTGCAGTTCACGGAAAACATTTGCCAACTGATTTACAGTAATGTCTGAAATCACATTAGTTATTTTAGGTATACTTAAAACTAGGTACATTAAACTTTATAACATTTTTTAGAGATTATTTCTATTGCAAATACAAAATAAAGTTATAAATTTTTTAAAGTGCACACAAACTTTATGGACACCCCGTATAAAGGGAATATAGGTTAGATCTCTACCAAGAGATTTTCAATGATCTTGACTAGTAAACATTCAACTGGGATGTCATGGCACACTAGTGTGCCATTTTTAGCAACAGAAATTCTTCTTCTATTCTAATTGTTATATTTGTGTAATTATCCTTAGAAAAAGATTTAAAGGGATGCCTATCCAAGAAGATATTCTAAAAAAACAAAAAAAAAAAAAATGTCAAGCTCATTAAATGTTAAATTATAATAAGCAGAAAAATAAATATGTTTAAGAATTTTAATTGCCTTTTTATTACAAATTATAAGATATTGTTTTGTTTGTGTTAATATAGGTACCTCCACGAAATCGCTAAAAAAAGAACATAGCTTGATGAAAAAGACGCCAACCTTGCCGAAAACAAAATTTTATTGTCTAAATGCTTATGTTATTATTTAGAGGAAAGACCAAAGTTTTTTAGAAAATTCTAAATTTTGATTAAAAAAACCTTGTTTCTATTTGTATCAGCGGAACTAGTAAATAACATAGACAATTTTTAGCACGTTTTTTTGGTATGACACACATTAATTTGAAAAATCGTTCAAAAATAGAAATAATTATCGGATGTTAATGAAACTTTCAGGAACTATTCACAGATGATCGAAATTATTATAAATATGTTTTTTTTTATGAAAGTCATGGTAGAAATATTTTAAAAAAATATTTATTACCCCCATAACTAATTTTATGAAAACGCTAGAAATTGATCGCATCGGTTTTAGTGATTACAATAATTAAAAGCACAGGGCTTTGAGGAATGCAAATCATGTTTTTTTTTGTTTTTAATTGGAAACCCAGTACCTGAAAAAATCAGCTCTGAATTGTAACATACAAAACTCAATAAAACAAATATATTATTTAATTTCAAATGCTTTTATTTGCTTTTAGTTGTTTTTTTATGAATATGGACAATATTTTCTGAAAGCAAAAAATTTTTCCGTGAAAATGAATTTTTAACACAATTATTTGTTATTTCATTAATTATAATAGATTTTACATTTAAGTTGTTAAAATATTATAAAATTAGTTAAAAGTCAAGACAGGCTTTCATAAGTGTCCTTATGAGATAGATCTTTTTTTTAGCGTTGTAAATTGTATCATTTTGACTAATCAGAAGATCCCCAGTAATTAAGAAATGTAATTTTGTGCTTATAATCGAGCTGTAATTATAAAATACGGAAGACCAACCAGAATATAATTAAGTTCGTTATTTGAGTTAAGCATTGTTCTCCGCTGTTAAGGCCTTTACTTTTTGCGAAACACGTGTGGAGAAGTTAATTTGATTTTTCAATTTCAACTGAGAAGGTTACCTACAAGTATCAGTATCATCTTATGAAATTTATATGATCTTATTTTTTATATTAATCTCAGTTACGACATTTTTTCCATAAATGAAATATCAAAATTAATAATAAAATGAATGCAAATACAAATAACAGTAGAATGTAATAAATGTACATAAAATTATAGTATTTTTATGTACAATTCTGATAAAATTTCATAAGAAAGGTACCTATAAATTAATTAGATACCTTTCTTAAGAAATATGAAATTTAATGTCACTCTTAACAGTTTTATTTTAATTTCTTTACAATATATTTCCCATAAAGCATCATAAACGTAAAGGTGAAAGCTAAGTAAAAAAAAAAAAAAAAATTAGACCGCTGAAAGTTTTTCGTTAAAAATAACGGGGTAAATAATTTGTTCACGTAAATGTAAATTATTTCACTTTTTCTCCTTCCAGAGAACAAATTAGCCTCATGGAATTCGTAAATATATCATTCATCACATGTCAAGAGACGCGAAAGTTTATGACCTGCTTTGTTTTATTTTCAAATTACATCTTTTGGCACAAAAGCTAAGTTAAGTTTGGTTCAAAATATTTTAAATAAACATTATAATTTCTGATTTTCTTAAAATAAGTTTGAAAAAATGATAATTGATATTTAAAAAAATTTCAAAGTCAGATTTCCAGTTTGTTTTAAAATGGAAAAAAATGGTCAATTTTGCTGACTCAAAAAAACTAGATTTTTTAACGAAAATTTCGGACGTGCTAGGAACGATTAAAAATGGAAAAAAATACCCAAAAAATACTTTGACCTTTCCTCTTAATGAATAACAAACATTTAGACGATAAAATTTTGTTTTCGTCAAGTTTGGCGTCTTTTTCATCATGCTATGCTCTTTTTTTAGCGATCTCGTGGAGGTACCTATGTTAATAAATAAATTATTGGAAGTGTGCACTGAAGATTTTGAAAGGTTATTAATTATTTTTGGAAGAAG